TAAAATATCATAAACATTCAATATTATTTTATGTTTATTATTTTAAATAATTAGAAATATAATTTAGTCGATAATGGTAAGAAAGCCTTTACTACCATCATCTTTCTTTTCTGTTATTGTCGACAAAATTTGTTTAAAGATTTACATAGTAGGAATATTTTAATTATTTATTAAATTGCACAGTTTTATAAGATTTTAGATTTTTATTGATTCTTTTTTAATCTATTATTATAGGGTTTTCTGAGCTTATTTTAAGTTTTATTTTATTTAAATATATATATATATATATATATATATATATATATATATATATATATATATATATATATATATATATATATATATATATAATGTACGTTTTATTTTAAGTACATAAGTTAAGAATAAATTAAAGTCTGTAATTTATAGGCTTTTACTTTAACTTAATTTATTCTTAATATTTTTTTTTCTTTAAACGTCCCACTTCTTGACACAGGCCAACTCTCAATTTGAGAGTTTTTTCCTTAGATGTGAGGAAACATGCATCTGAAAAATACAAAAATATTTCGAAGACATGATGTTAAGTCCGCCAACACGCATAGGTTTAACGCGGCGCAATTTTTTTTTGCGCCCGAAGCAAATATGGGCAACCCTCCGGAAAGCGGGGGAGGGAGGTTGGGAATGCTCATAGCATACCACGCAGCCGGCTGCGTGGTTATGTGGTGACTTTTACCCACTAAACCCAACCTTTTAGGAATTGGCTTAACGATCTGTCTAGAGATCTCTAAGCCGTATACGAACGCGACCCTCCTTGGCAGAAAGGAGGGCGCAAGCGGCGAAAAGCCGCTTAGAAGTGTGCCCAACTAAGGCAGATTAAGGGATGTGTTATGTCAGCTCGGCCTGAGCCGCCAGGAGGCAGTTCAGGTCAGCCGAAAGCTTGTTGGGGGGGTCCGAGAGAGAGTTTCTCGGTCTGCGCACACTATAGCGAGTACAGTAAACTGTCGTGGATAGGGGCTGCATAGGCAGCTGTCTCGCGAATGAAAATGAAAAATCTCTCAGAGAGTGATTTAAGGAACTGCTGGATTGTTGGGAGCTCTAAGTCTCGATGTAGGTCGGCATTACGGACATAATAGGGCGAGTTAGTGGCCCTTCGACAGAATGGATTTTGAACTATTTGAAGTTCATTTATAGCTTTGGGCTTAGCATGTGCAAAAATGGGGGCCGCGTAGGTCATGACAGGTCGTATGCAGACCTTATATAGGGTTCGCTTGTTGCGGAGGGACATTTTACTGTGTCTGCCCAACATGCTGTTGAGCCTACCCATGTAAAAACGTGCGGTGCGAGTAACCTTCTTGATATGGGGCTCGAAAGTGAGCCTTGCATCAAGGGTGACGCCTAAGTATTTGGCTTTAGTTTCCCATGGGACAGGGGTTCCTAACATCCTGATTGGCGGAGTGGTGGTGAGACGACGTCGTTTATATTCGAAGCGAACGGCGGAGCTTTTCTCCGGGTTTACGTCGAGCGGCGCAAACATTTCTTCCATTTTAAGTAAATACATACATACATGCATACCTACACACATACGAGGTATATACCCATAGGTATATACCCAAGGAACAGCCCTCTTACTGTGACAGTCGGGTAATTAGCTTTATTTTACCGTCTGTAACGTAATGAAAACGAACGCTCTTACGTACAATTTCTTTTTATTGACGTACAAAATAAAAAGAGCTTGTCGGTTTCTCGATAATATTCTTTATATCAAAGGGATTAGACTTAAAATACGGTTTTAGATTATTACTTTAAATTATAAAGTAAGCCGGCGAGGTTATATGATCATTATACCGATCGCTTAAAGCTAATTTAGCCGTATTAACTGGTGGTATTAAATAGTATGAGGAACGTCATAATGGCGCTTCGTTGCCATTTTATAAATGACCTTTTATCATTGCCTTTACTCGTGTTTATAACCTATAAAATTAGATTTTTAAACGCCTTGATTGATAGTGAACCTTGGAGATTTTTAAAATTCAAATACTTAAATGATGATATGTTGCGCTCCTTCTGAAATGTGATGACATCGAAATTTTCCAAAATAATAGCACTTTTCATAACTTATCAAGATATTTATTAAATTAATGATATAGTTATTAAATAAAATTAATAAATATATATATATATATATATATATATATATATATATATATATATATATATATATATATATATATATATATATATATATAATAAATATACGGAGGAGTTCGGAAAATAACTCATTGATCAAGGAACTTACCGGGACGTCTTTTTTAAAAATTCGTACAACCTTTGTTCAATATTATTTTTAAACTTAGTAATATACTTACAAACATTATATGTAAAAAAAATCATCAAAAAATGGGATTATATTCTAAAAACGAATACAATGTAAAAAATAAAAAATTAATTATTAACGCTATAAGCGTTGAGTGAATGTTAAAAAAAGGTACGTCTGATCTCAACCCTAGGCTTTTCTGACACCTGTTGGATAGAAGTTGTACAGTTTAATAAGAAATATGTGGTAGTGCAATGTAAATATTAACAAGTTTATGTCATAAATTTGTTAGTATTTACATTGCACTGCCATACATTTCTTATAAAGCTGTTCAACTTGTCCAGCAGGCTGAGCGAGCAAATTTTCCAATGCAAGCACACCGGTGCAGTCTTGGAAACGCTTCTATTTGATTTGATATTGCTTCTATTTGATTGATTTGAAAGCTGAAGAAAGATAGACGTTTTATCATTATAACTTTTAGTAGTTAAAAAAATTGTTAAAACAAGAAGCAAGTGCCACTTTAATACGCGTAAGTAAACGTGACTAATGCGGTAGACCGGCATCGTTCCACATTATTACTCAAGAGCTCTTTACGCCTACTTCCCATCTCAGATCGACTCACAAATCATGGATATACCGGTAGGTGAGACGTACTTATATTTTCTTGAGCCGTTATTCAAACAGACCAGTTACTTTCACAGATAATAAGCGTACTAACGATCCAATAAATTACTGCAAGTATTCGAAAACCATTCACATTTCGGTGAGGGTTTAGTTATTATTAGAGGAAAATCTAATGTATTATTCAAAAAGCCGTTTTATATATACAGGATGATCTTTTTTACCTTCTGAAAAAATAGGGTGTTGTGGACGGAGCAGATGCCTATGCACTGATATTTTACAAAAAATAAAAACAAAAATTTTGAATTAAATAAATAAATTAAAATCATTCAAATCATGTTCACCCTGCTTTACGAACGTCAATAAAACAATAAATTTATTAGGCATCTTTGACCTTGTCACTTCGCAGGGTCACAGGCTCAAGGGCAAGGGGCAAAGTAATTGTACAAAAAATTATATTATTTTATTATTTTTTGTGAAATATCTGTGCCATAGGCTTCTACTGTGTTCACATATTACACCCTATTTTTTTCTAGAAGGCTTTACCTTCTAGAAATATCTAGGTAATGCATTATATTTAAAGGAAAAAGTAGAGTAACAGTCTCTATGCGTTCCACTACTAGGCACAAACCTCCCCTAATTCGTGAATGTATTTTAGGACAAGGAAAAATCCGGGCAGTGTGCATTGATAGACATTACATGTCCTCTAAATGTTTATTGTTCTCAGAAATATAGGTTTCGCAACAACAATGATGGCCTTCAGCGGCGAAGATCGAACTCGGTTAACTCATCAATTCTAAGGCAAGCGCTTATCGCGTATTTCTAATATTTTCAAGTTTAAAAAAAAGGCAATATTAATAATTAGATATATATACAAATACACAACACAATAATTAAATTTTATTACATCAACCTCATTATTGAATGAAACAATCTGCTTTAACTCTCGCTTTATATATATGTAATGTGATTTTTTTATATTACAAACAAAACAACACACATTTAGCATTATTATTAATAAATGTCACTATTAATTAAAATAATTATTTAACAAAAGTTTACTATTCATATATAAGTTATTTAAAAGGTTCGTTTTATTTATTTAAATTTGACCACAACTATCTATGGCATTTTCCTATGCTGAAGATTCGCCAACAATGCTATTAATTTTTTTTATCCTTACTTATGTTAAAATTATGTATCTTAAATATTTATTAGAACTTAAATACTGATAGATTATATAGGGCGTGATTTTGTATTAACAGCAATATAATTTTTCTTAATACACTTATTTTTCCAAATGTAGGTACATTAAAGTGACACAGTCATTTATTTCTATACCACAATAGAATATAAATCAGACTCGAATAAATAAAAGGTGCTTGACCCAGCAACTCTCGGCGAGAAAGAAACAGTTGTTTAATATCGGTAGAATATCGAAAGCTTACTTCTTAAGTAAAATGACATCTAAATTACATTATAGATGTCTTTTACCCTTGGTAGCGAAAAATGAAAATCTATCACTATTTACTAGTGTCGAAACAGTATCAAAGTATATTACTTATTTATTGGAAACCTAATGTGGGACACGTTTTTACTCGTCGCCATTTGTGTTTAGGTACAAGAGCCAGCTGCACTATCTACTCCGCATCGTAAAAACAAGAATTGTAAACGGAATAAAACATGTATAATGATTATCTCTTCTCTTTTTTTCACAACATCGGATCTGAAATAGGAAAAGTCAAAATAAAACCTTGTTCCTTGCTTATAAATTTCTTTAATTATGTGTCTATACAAACATCATTCATAATTGAATAAAACTACACAATAATTTACAGTCTTTCAAATTAATACTTAAAATTTTTCATTATAGAACATAGTAATAAATTACAAAGAAGCAAATCTCACAGAAATGCGATAATTTGGTATCGTTATTGTACAAGAATTATAATTATTAACAAATAGTACAAGGTTTCTATTTACAATACCGGACAACTTTTTTTTGTTGATATAAAGCGATATTTTCAGCGGTTTATCCGGTTTTTACAAACTGAGATCGTTTAATTTAAATATCTACTACAACGAACTACACCAGGTACGTTTGCACAGTGTGCTGTAAAACAACAGAATGTGGTTGATTGTGACGGCCATGGAAATCAGTAGACGAATAATCCGAATCAATAGTTGAATAAATGTGCTCTGAAAGAGGTCGATCACAAGGCGATCGCTCTGCGGAATTAGCAGACTTGCCACACAACGTCTGGCAGGTAGTATTCAATACTGAAGCATCCATTGTGTATGTATTCGAGTTTCTTCCATAATTGAGCCTTTTCAACTTTTGCCCTCGTCGCTTCGACGATGGCATAGCGTAGCGTAATCTTTCCCAAAACCGTTTCTCTTTCCATGTTATCTCTAAACCTGTTTTGAAATACGATTTCAATTCCGGATCTCGTGGAACGAGCCCTACGGTGACTATTATTAATTTATTTGGATTTTTTCGGAGAGCTTTTTGTAATGCTTGTCGGAACTCTATTTGTGACCATTCTGTTAAAAGAAAATTCTTAGTTAATACCACAATTATACGTCTCGATGCTTCAGTAGCTTCGACTACCAAATCAGGGAATTGAGCGTAAGTGGCCTCGAATTGAGGAACATCCCTGTAATGTAAACAGAGATGATAAGAGGGATAACCATTTTCAAGCTCCTGTGCCAAAGATTCTATAACGAACTCCTCGTCTTTAGGACTATAACAAATATAAGCGTCATAAAGCTTATCAGCGTCATTAAAGGCACCCGCTAGCGGAGAGAGCTTAATGCCGCAATTTGAATACAACCACATTCTGCAAGCGTATCTGAACGTGAATACTAAAGCCAAAATTAATAAAATGAGCATGAAACCAGTGAGAACCGATGCGAGTAATGGTAAGTTATTGGAGACGAAAAGGGCGCTTATCACTGAAGAATCACTTATTTCACTACAAATTGTCACATTTAAATTCAAAGGTTTTTTCACTGGGTTCATTTTGTCATTCCAACACGACAAATTATGAACGTCTACAACTTTTTCATCGTTCTGGGATATGTAAGTTAGGAAACCTTGTAAATATTTACAGTCACATGACCAACGGTTACCGCCGATAAACAGCGTTTGTAACTTTTTATTATTGTCCAAATGCCACAGGCCATAATTTACGAGTCTGTTTCCATCCAAGCGTAAAACTTCGAGAGAGTCTAAAAAGGAAAAAGTTACGTTTGAAATAAATTCAATAGCATTACTTTGAAGATACAATTCTTTTAAGTTGCTCAACTTCGAAAACTCGAGGCCTCGTAAACGTTTCAACTTATTGTTATCTAAATGTAGTATTCGTAGATCGACGAGTGCATTGAATGAGTTGTTATGAATGTTCACGATGTTACTTGAATTTAAATACACAACGACAGCTCTATGCATGGAAACGAAAACAGTATCGTTGAGTTCATAAAAAACATTTCCATCTAAATAAATATGCGTGGCACTTATAGGAAATTCTATTGGGACTGTGTTAAATTGTTTTACGGAACAATCTACAACATTTGTGGTTTTCGTTGAGTCGTGATAACATGAACAGTTCGTAGGACAGACAGTTTTACAGTTACAGAAATTGAAATCACAACAGCCGCAATCTTCAGGACAATAACTCTCGTATTTGCATAAAAATTCTTTTAAATGAAGCGAGCTGACAGGGATGTATTTGGCTCCGCGAACGTAAGACTCTTTACATATAGCGTTATCTAAATCCATTATACGCGGGTATTGCCTAGACGTCATTGAATTAATTAAAAGTAACCATTTCATTGTGCAATCGCAACGGAAAGGATTACCGCTAATATAGAACTCAGGCAGTGGTCGCTCGTCTGCCGTTCTCGAAATACGCAAACTATTTATATCTAAGCTCTCGATTGCATTTGAATACATATCGACGCGTGTCAAATTATTCTTGTCCCGAAACGTGTCTATCTCTATGTTGGAAATAAAATTATTGTTTATAAACAGAAGCTCGATGCTGTTCGGTATGGACATGGGCGATAAAGCAACAATTCGGTTATGGCTTGCGTCCAACGTCTTCACGTGTAATTCTTTCTGAATTTTATAGTAATTACCAAGAATCTCTATAAAGTTAGCGTGAATATCCAACCATTTCAAATTACCCGGAATAAAAGCATAATCAAACCACACTAAGTGATTTTCGGATAGATTTAACCACAACAACTTCGTCAACGATACAAATACCCCATTTATATCAGAAATAAAGTTACCGTCCAAGCGAATGGCTTCCAGTTGCGTGTTCCTTTGAAAGGTTTCGGTCTCAATCATCTGTATTTTATTTTTCGCCAAATTGAGTACTTGCAGGCTCGGCAAACCCCAGAACATGCCTGCTGTAAGGTTTCCAATTTGATTGTCGATTAAACGCAACCCGGTCAACTGCGGCAAATTATGAAATGTATTATTTGCTATTTCTGTTAATAAATTTTCACCCAAATCTAATGACTTTAAGAACGATAATTGCAAAATTGCTTCAGGGACCTTCGTCAACTTGTTTGAACTTAAATCTAACTCCTTTAAATCTGAACAGTTTCGGAACGCGTTTTCGCTAATGTAGGACAGCAAATTATTGTTCAAGTTTAACTTATTTAAAATGAAAAGTCCGTTGAATATGTGATCGTCTATGGTATTCAATTTATTTTGACCCAAATTTAGAGTATGTAAATTGAAAAGTGGAGAAAACGCGTTGTCTTCGATGTACCCTATAGAATTATTACTTAAATTGAGTATTTGTAAAAAGAACAAGTCCTTAAACATATTTCGCGCGATCCGTACAATCGAGTTGTGTGACAGGTCGAGCACGATTAATCTTATTAAACCCCCGAACGTTTCATCTTCTATGTGGTCGCTCTTCAATTTATTCGCTGAAAGATCTAAAACGAGTAATTGTTCCAACCTATTAAATATTCTCTTAGGCAATATTTCCAGTTCATTGTTTTTCAAATAAATCTCACGAATTTCTCTTGAATTTTTGAATAAGCTCTCTGGTAAATAATTTATAGCGTTATCTGAAAAGTTCACAACTTTCAACGACAATAAATCGCTGAAGACCTCGCCCGGCAATTCATTTATCTTATTATTTTGCAGGAATAGTTGTGTAAGCCTCCGCAGATGTAGTATTTCGGAGTCAGCTGGCAAAGACATGATATCGTTATAGCTCAAATCTATTGTTTGGAGTGTCGATCCACATTTATGACCGAAGCCTAATTCATCGACGAACTTTATTTTATTTCGAGTTAAATTAAGTGAAATCACATTTTCCAATGCGCAGAAAAGTTCCGAAGGTATTTTCCTGATATTGTTGTACGCTAAATCCAACGTGTGCAATTCTCTTAGGCCATTAAAGGCACCGAGAGACAAATCCAACTCTTTATTGTGTCCCCATTCGTTGTTCATAGAACGTATTCTCAATGTTTTCAGGCCTCGTAAACCCTCGAAAGCGTTACCGGGGAGACGGAGAAGCTTACAGTTATATATAGAGACCTCTGCCAAACCTTGCATCCTCCCGAAGTGATGGTCCCTGAGCGTGCTCTCGGCAAGTTGGGGCCCGCAGCGGATTGCGAGCCGCTGCGCGCCCTCCGAGTGCATCGAACCGACGACGTCTCTGTCCGACAGTGTTCGTACATTGCACTCCACCGCACTGTTCTCATCGGACGCATGGAAACAACCATCGGCAGTGCCAGGCGCTTCCGTAAGCACCGCGCCCATCACCAAACAAAAGAATAACACGTTAATTATCATTTTAATCCGCACTGTGACCATTTCATTTTCACTCGTCAACTTATGTCGAAGTAGGGAAGAGTAGTTCGCAAGTCGCAATCAGTCATATTAATGTGTTGTACCGCGAGAACAGTTTACGATTAAATTACGTTTATGTGTGTGATAAATAGAATGATTCGATGTGCACTTTCGAAAGGCACACGCGCTCCCCTCGCGGCGGCGTGTCGGCGACTGCCGCTCAGCGCTTACAATGAAATGCCATGAATGCGCGGCAGCTTGGAGGGACCGGGCTACACCATCGCATTTCTGTTGCCGCATACTAAGTAACCCTCGTAGTTTTCGACTTTTGTAGAAAACGGAAACCGTTACGTGACTTTGCTTCCATTAATGTTATTAGATCTTACCGAGATCAAAACCGTAAAGAACAAATGCATAATTCGTGAAGAATACTTCAATTACTTTTTTCTTTTCAAGTTGCAAATATTTGACGGCTCGATAGTGCAATGGCTAAATGTGTAGCTGTGATGCTACTCGCGCATTCGATTTCCAGATGAAGCAACATTTTAATGGTCTGCATCTACAAAAGGCCTGGATATTTGTGTTTGAACAATTTGTTTATAGTATGACGTCTCCACGGTACGGAGATAATACTAGTATGGATGTATTTTTTTTCTTATGAAAATACATCATGTACTACTTGCCCATTTGAGATTTTTACTACCAATAAATTTGATATTTTGACGCCATTGAAAAGAAGTTTTTACGTGGTAGAGCCACGCTGCAGCTATGTTATAGTTGTAGCATGAATGGGTCGGCTCGATCAGCAGGATCACGCTTTCACAGAATACCAGCGTAAAATAGCAGCGTAAAGCTGTTGGGTTTCGTATGATGAGTGTAGAGAACTGGAGACCCTTTTTACTGGAATTGAGTCATTCATCTTAGTCCTCAGTGGTGACAACGCATATGCATTTTGACTCTTAAGCGAAGTAAGATGTAGATGTCTGTGGGTCACAACAACCACTTACTATCAGGTGGACTGTGTGATCATTTGTCACTCAATACTATGAAAAAAGCTAATGAAACTGAATTGACAACTGAATGGCAAAAGTTAAGAAGGCCTTAGTAAGTGGGCGATAATGATAATACAATATATTCAAAAAAACAAAATGTAAAGACGTAAAGTTAGTAGGTAGTGTAAAATCACTCATGCACTGTTTGATTTTGACAGTGACACCGAGTTTTTAGAAATCATGGGAACTCTAATCATTAGATACAGTGGACCCCCGGTAATCCGGCCCCAGTCTAATCCGGCACCCCCTTTTATCCGACATGGTCCGTTATTTATGAAAAATTTTTTGACAATCTTCGCTAATGCATGATTGAAAAAGTTATAACTTGTACGCACCACCACTATTGTGCTCGATGCGTAGTGTTGTTTTGATGCTGATTAAAAAAATTGATTCTGAAAATGGTTGAAAGATCGTAGTTTTCCTCAAAAAGCATTATTGCTTCGTGATAACGCTCTTAAATTGATGCTTCAGAGATTAATTGATTAATAATTTTTGATTATTTCAGTATGTACACTTGTTTGTACCCAATTATTTCCTAATATAGAGTTATTGCATATTTTTTGTAAGTTCTATAACTTTAATGACATTAATTTTATTGATTAAAACTACTTTTACGGATTTTCTCTCGGTTAATTTTTATTTTAATTTTTAATTCTCGATGTTTCGGGTGCTTTCCAGCACCCAAGGTCACGGGGGACTGAGGTGACTGACGTCCCGATGTCATTGTTAAACCCGGAGTACCTTCAGCTTTTTTATTTATTGTTAATGGTCCGATCTATTCAAAATGATCTGACTATGTCTACGTTAATTTTATAATAAAACGTAAGCTCTTGCTACTGCTACTCTTGCTATTGCATTGTTTAATTTACTAAATTTAACATACATAATAAAGTATGATTTGTACTCCAGATTACAAATGATACTGCGTTATGTTATATGTAATAATAATAATAATTGGATCTGTAATTTGTCGGATTACAAGATAGGTACTCTTTTGTAAAAAATTCTGGACTATAGGTCTCTTGGGGTAGGACTCATTCAGGTTCAGGACTATAGGTATAGGATAGGGGGTCTCGGCAGTACTCTATAATCCGACAAATTTGATAGTTAGACACTGCCCCGCAAATATTTGTTGGATTACCGGGGCTCCACTGTATATCTAAAAACATAAATTATAGCTTAACATTAAAGTCTAAACCAGTGGTCGGCAAGTAGTTTTAGTTAGGGTCCGGATAAACCTTGAAAAATTTTACAAGGTCCAGAAAAAAAACAACTGATAATAATTAAGTGTTAGGCAGCTATTTATTGTAGGAGTAAAATTCAGATTTATAAAATTGTAGAATTAATGTGAAAAATTACATCGACGGTCTTGAGCAAGGTTTTATAGTTTGGTTCTCGAGAAGAACAGCAAATTCGAAGAGTGTCTTTAAAGTGAGCGTCCGTTAATCTCGAACGATATTTGTTTTTCAAAAAATTCATCTTTGAAAAAGATGTTTCGCATACGTATGTCGAACCAAACATAGTGGCCAAATTGATAGCAAGTTTTTTGCAATTTTCATATTTTACTGGGACATGTTTGACCCAAAATTCTTCAGTTGACACAGTTTTATATATTTGCAAAGACACATCTTCTTGCAGATCGATTATTTCCATTTGAAGTGATGGCTTTGACAGATTAAACAACTTGGCAGCCACATCTGTCCATTCTGCTGCCACATCAACTTCAAAGGGTGACTTAAGAAACAGAGACAGCTTGCCCATCTCTGCAAAGTCTTGGAATCTTGTGGCAAATTCGTTCCTAAGATCGGCCTAAAATGTTGAAACACTGCAATGTCTTCTTCGGAGTTTTCCTTTTTATATTTCAAAATTGTCGGAAAATGAACAAATTCTTGTCTTGCAATATCTTTTTCAAAGATATCCAGCTTACGACGAAAAGCAGACACGCTTTGTATCAGATCACATATTAATTTTTCATTTCCTTGTAACTCTGTGTTGAGCGCATTTAAATATTTCAAAATATCTTTTAGAAAAGCCACAACCAGCATATTGCGCTTATTTGTTACGAACTCAAGGTGCTTCTTAGCTCTCTGCGTATCTAAGTTTTGCAAGAAAGAGGTTACTTGTTCTTTTATTAGCCAAAAACGTTCAATAACTTGACCTTTACTTAGCCAACGAACATTGTTGTGTTGCAGTAAGTCAGAATACGCTGAATCACATTCAAAAAGAAACTCCTTGAAATGTCGGTGCTGAAGAGCAGAATGAGATCTCATAAAATTTACTAACTTCGCGAAGCTGTCCATCACTTCTTTCAGTGTAGCGCTAAGTTTTCCACAAAGGGCTGCCTGGTGAATTATGCAGTGATACGATATTAGGCCTGGATTTTTATCCCTAATTCTCTTTACTACACCTTTTTCTTTGCCAATCATTGCTGGGGCCCCGTCAGTTGAAAGCGACACAATTTTATCGTAACTGATGTCAGATTTAGTAATAAATTCATCAATTACCTTGAATAAATCTTCTCCTCGAGTGTTACCTTTTAGAGGCAATATTGTTAGCAACTCTTCCCTTAAAGGTTTAGACTCAATGTCAAGAAATCTGACAAAAATTGACATTTGTTCATCATCAACAATGTCACATGACTCATCAAGTGCTATAGCGTAGCAAGGTGCCTTTTGCAGAAGTTCGAAAAGGGTGATTTTAATATCAGCAGCTAAAATTTCAGTTCTTCGCGTATTGCTTCTTGCTGATAATGGTATATTTTGAATTCTAGCGACAGTTTTTGTGGAATTGCTGATGAGTCGTTTCATAGTGTCGCTTCAAATTTCCACTTTTAACAATAGCAACAGTTTTATTGCATATAAGGCACACTGGAACTGCTTGAGGCCTATCCGGCAGCGTAAAACAATATTGTTCAGTCCATTCTTCTAGAAACCTCCTATTTTCACTGTCCACTTTTCGCTTTTTAGGATCCATACCACGCTTAGGTACAAAAATGTAATTTAATTAAACGAACGAAAACTCGACAAATCACAAAACAAATGAACTGTTGCTCCGCGATTTGCGCTGCGACTGACCGACTAGCAGTCTGCTATCTAGTCTGTTGCTAGTACATGCCGTCTCGCTCTCGCTCGCGTGTTAACAATACCTGGCGACTCGCTAGGCCGCGATCAGTCGCAAGCTTGCAAATGGTCTTCTGAGGAGCCATACCACAGGACATATATATATACCCTAAAAAGGGAGCCATACGTATGAACAAAGCGCACGGGACGACATCGGCTCGATGTTTATATCGATGCATTTGCAGCTATAAAATCATATCAGTTGTTGGCATTTTTAAAATATTTTTATAAATATTACGTATTTATTTATACTTGACATACAATACATTACTATATTTGGCGGTCCGAGGTTCAACCTTTCCGAGGTTTTGAGGATCCGCCTGTTGCTGACCATTGGTCTAAACCCTTGAAATAAAATTAGACCAAATGTATTGTTCAAACAAAAGTGAGTAGGAATCGCGCCGTGAGTGTTCCGAATTAACTTAATTATGTAACTATGTAGATAATTCGTCCTTTCCGACGATTTTTATCTGTTTTAGATGACAATACACGAATGCCATAAATTGTCAAAGATAATTTTAATTTATATACAATAGCGTATAACTGTGAAAGCAGTTAGATAATTGCTTCCATTACAGCCTATTAAAGTCCACTGTTGAACAAAGGCCTCCCCATAGATTGCCTTATAGAGGGAGGGGGTTTACTTTTACCAAAACAATATTGAGAGGTTTTTTTCAAGCGTTTTTTTCGGAACCAGTAGAAATTAAACAAAAGAGTGACTTTCAATATGTATTAGCTATAATCTATGTTTAACAAAAAAGTTTCTGTTTCTGAAACTAATAAATTATAAATGAGGTAA